CAAGAAGAGCTAAAGATCCTAAATATATACGCACCCAATACAGGAGCACCCAGATACATGAAGCAAGTTCTTAACGACCTACAAAGAGACTTAGACTCCCACACAATAATAGTGGGACACTTTAACACTCCACTGTCAATGTTAGACAGATCAACGAGACAGAAAATTAACAAGGATATCCAGGACTCGAACTCAGATCTGGACCAAGAAAACCTAATAGACATTTACAGAACTCTCCAACCCAAATCCACAGAATATATATTCTTCTCAGCACCACATCACACCTACTCTAAAACTGACCACATAATTGGAAGCAAATCACTCCTCAGCAAATGCAAAAGAACAGAAATTATAAAAAACAGTCTCTCAAACCACAGTGCAATCAAATTAGAAATCAGGATTCAGAAACTAACTCAGAACCACACAACTTCATGGAAACTGAACAACTGGCCCTTGAATGTTGATTGTAAAAACAATGAAATGAAGGCAGAAATAAAGATGTTCTTCAAACCAATGAGAACGAAGACACAACATACCAGAATCTCTGGGACACATTTAAAGCCGAGTCTAGAGGAAAATTTATAGCAATAAATGCCCACATGAGAAGCAAAGAAAGATCTAACATTGACACTCTATCATCAAAATTGAAACAGCTAGAGGAGCAAGATCAAAAAAAAACTCAAAAGCTAGCAGAAGACAAGAAATAACCAAGATCAGAGCAGAACTGAAGGAGATAGAGGCACAAAAAACCCTTCAAAAATTAATCAATCCAGGAGCTGGTTTTATGAAAAGATCAATAAAATAGACAGACCACTAGCCAGATTAAAAAAAAAGAAAAGAGAGAATAATCAAATAGATGCAATAAAAAACGATAAAGGGGATATTACCACCGATTCCACAGAAATACAAACTACCATCAGAGATTACTACAAACAACTCTATGCACTTAAACCAGTAAACCTGGAAGAAATGGATAAATTCCTGGACACTTGCACCCTCCCAAGCCTAAACCAGGAAGAAGTCAAAACCCTGAATAGACCAATAACCAGGGCTGAAGTTGAGGCAGCAATTAATAGCCTACCAACCAAAAAAAGCCCAGGTCCAGACAGGTTCACAGCCAAATTCTACCAGACATACAAAGAGGAGCTGGTACCACTCCTTCTGAAACTATTCCAAACAATCCAAAAGAGGGAATCCTTCCTAAATCATTTTATGAGACCAACATCATCCTGATACCAAAACCTGGCAGAGACTCAACAAGAAAAGTAAACTTCAGGCCAATATCCATGATGAACATAGATGCAAATATCTTCAATAAAATACTGGCAAAATGATTGCAACAGCACATCGAAAAGCTTATCCATCACAATTAAGTAGGCTTCATCCCAGGGATGCAAGGCTGGTTCAACATATGCAAGTCTATAAATGTTATTCACCACATAAACAGAACCAAAGACAAAAACCACATGATTACCTCAATAGATGCACAGAAGGCCTTCGACAAAATTCAACAGCCCGTTATGCTAAAAACTCTCAATAAACTAGGTATTGATGGAATGTACCTCGAAATAATAAAAGCTATTTAAGGCAAACGCACAGTCAAAATCATACTGAATGTGCAAAAACTAGAAGCAGTCCCTTTGAAATTTGGCACTAGACAAGGATGCCCTCTCTCACTACTCCTATTCAATATAGTACTGGAAGTTCTAGCCAGAGCAATCGGCAAGAAAAAGAAATAAAGGGTATTGAATTAGGAAAGGAGGAAGTCAAATTGTCTCTATTTGCAGATGACATGATTGTATATTTAGAAGACCCATCACCTCAGCCCAAAATCTCCTGAAACTGATAAGCAACTTCAGCAAAGTCTCAGGATACAAAATCAGTGTGCAAAAATCACAAGCATTCCTATACACCAATAACAGACTTAAAGAGAGCCAAATCAAGAATGAACTGCCATTCACAATTGCTACAAAGAGAATAAAATACCTAGGAATACAAATAACAAAGGATGTAAAGGACCTCTTCAAGGAGAACTACAAATCACTGCTCAACGAAATAAGAGAGGACACAAACATATGAAGAAACATTCCATGTTCATGGTTAGGAAGAATCAATATCGTGAAAATGGCCATACTGCCCTAAGTAATTTATAGATTCAATGCTATCCCCATCAATCTACCTATGACCCTCTTCACAGAACTGGAGAAAACCACTTTAAACTTCGTATAGAACCAAAAGAGAGCCCACATAGCCAAGTCAATCCTAAGCAAAAAGAACAAAGCTGGAGGCATCACACTACCGGACTTCAAACTATACTACAAGGCACAGTAATCAAAACAGCATGGTACTGGTACCAAAACATGGTCCTGTACCAATGGAACAGGACAGAGCCCTCAAAGGCAATGTCACACATCTACAACCCTCTGATATTTGACAAACCTGACAAAAACAAGCAATGGGGAAAGGAGTCCCTGTTTAATAAAAAGTGTTGGGAAAACTGGCTAGCCATGTGCAGAAAGCTGAAACTGGATCCCTTCCTTACACCTTACACTAAAATTAACTCCAGGTGAATTAAGGACTTAAACGTAAGACCTAACACCATAAAAACCCTAGAAGAAAACCTAGGCAAAACCATTCAGGACATAGGCATAGGCAAGGAATTCATGACTAAAACACCAGAAGCAAGGAATTCATGACTAAAAACACCACAACAACAAAAGTCAAAACAAACAAATTGGATCTAATTAAAGTCCAGAGCTTCTGCACAGCAAAAGAGACAAACATTAGAGTGAACTGGCAACCAAAAGAATGGGAAAAAATTTTTGCAATCTACCCATCTGACAAAGGGCTAATATCCAGAATCTACAAAGAACTAAAACAGCTTTACAAGAAAAAAACAAACAAATCCATTCAAAAGTGGGCAAAGGACATGAACAGACACTTTTCAAAAGAAGACATATATGAGGCCAACAAACATATAAAAAAATGCTCATCATCTCTGGTCATTAGAGAAATGCAAATCAAAACCACATTGAGATAGCATCTCATGCCAGTTAGAATGGTGATCATTAAAAAATCTGGAGACAACAGATGCTGGAGAGGATGTGGAGAAATAGGAACACTTTTATACTGTTAGTGGGAGCGTAAATTAGTTCAACCATTATGCAAGACAGTGTGGCGATACCTCAAGGACCTAGAAATAGAAATTCCATTTGACCCAGCAATCCCATTACTGGGTATATCCAAAGGATTATAAATCAGTCTGTTATCAAGACACATGCACACGTATGTTCATTGCGTCACTGTTTACAATAGCAAAGACCTGGAACCAACCCCAACGCCCATGGATGATAGACTGGACAGGGAAAATACAGCACATATACACCATGGAATACTATGCAGCCATCAAAAACGATGAGCTTGTGTCCTTTGTAGGGACATGGATAAGTCTGGAAACCATCATTCTCAGCAAACTGACACAAGAACAGAAAATCAAACACCACATGTTCTGACTCATAGGCAGGTGTTGAACAATGAGAATACTGGACACAGGGAGGGGAGCTTCACACACTGGGTTCTGTTAGGGGAGGGACAGCAGGAGGTAGGGAGTTGGGGAGGGATAACATGGGGAGAAATGCCAGATATAGGTGATGGGGATGGAGGCAGCAAACCACATTGCCATGTATGTACCTATGCAACAATCCTGTGTGTTCTTCACATGTACCCCAGAACCTAAAGTGCAATAAAATATATAAAAATCAATTTAAAAAATAGTTTTATGTCTCCTAGATGCCAGACATGTACCAATCCTAAAAAATAACCACAATTAAATAGCACGAGGAAGATTATTGCATAAGGTGATAGTTCTTTTCAATGGTAAGAGGGTTTTTTTTAATTATGATTGTTTTATTTTGAAATTTTTTTCATGTTGGATGCACACTACGAGCATGACATCTTTCCCTAAATAGTGTTACTAATGAGAAGAAATAACCTAGGAAGAACCCAAATAAGCAATAACATTTTTTAAACCTTTTATTTATCAGAAAAAAATCAGATTTATTAATACATGGAGCCAGAGATCAAAATAGAAACATAAGGCCACTATATTTGAGACTTCCTTAGGAAAATAATTTTTAAAGACTTAAAGATTGTGAAGTAATTATGTTTATCTACATATATCAATGCATCTTTTGATGCTAGCTTATTACTTGCAATTGTCCTGCCAATAACACGTATTGTCTGTCACCTGGCTTATGGCTTTAGCCCCTTTTGGAGGATAATCATAAAACCCAAAACTCTTGGGGCAGGAAGGAACTGTATAAAGCATGCAGTCCAGTCCACTCATTTTGCAGATGAGGAACAGCCCATGTGGGGAGACCAAGTGACTTGTTCAAAGCCCTACAAGTAACTAGTGGCTCAGCCAAAGACAGACCCTAGACTCCAAACTGCCAGGACATTGCTTTTGACTCGTTGAGGAGGGGTAAAATTCTCCCTAGCCATCCATTCATTCATCCATCCAACCAGCATTTGCTGAGTGCCCAACACATGCAGAGGCTATTCCAGGGTTGGGGATGCAGCAGAGAACAAAACTGGGAAAGTCCCAGCTTTCAGGGGCCTTCTGCCCTTGGGGGTGAAGAAATAATAAATATATACTTATGCCAGGTGGTGAAAGGGCTAAGAAGGAACATAAAGCAACATAAGAGGCTCACTAGTGCTGGAAGGTTGCTGCTGTTCACAGGTGGTCAGGGAGTACCATATGGATAAGGTGACGTTTGAGCAGCGAGTAAATTTGGAGTAAAATTTAGAGTAAGCGTAGAATAGAAGCTAATTCAAAACAGCGTGGATATTCCAAAAAGGATAGCGAGGATGTATATGAAGGGGAAGCCAGTGGGAATCAGTGAAATAAAGAAGGAGATGGCTTAAACAGAGAAGGGATGCTGATGGCGACCGTCTGCAGTCTGCAAGCAGCTGTGACCTCCGAGGAACCCCCTTGAACTCACCTCTGCTGTCTGCCTGGCACAGGTCCAGGTGGCACCTAGGGCAGGCTCCATGACCACAGGGGAGCAGTTCAGGCCTGAATCTGAGGAGGGAACCTGGGCAGAAAAGGATTTTCTTTTCAGTAACCAAAGAACTAAGAAATCCCTCCCGATTCTGAGTGGGGGTGGAGGTGGGTGAACCAGCAAGAAAGAACCTCAAAGGTCAAGCCAGATTGGGAGCCAGCCTATTTGAAACAAGGAATGCAAGCGACTGAGAGACGGTTCAAATCGTCAGGCTAATTGTGCCCGAGGAAGCTTTTCACAAAGTGTAATTCAGGCTCTTTGTAAACCATAGACTGTGCTGCTGTACCACCTTGAGGCTCCCAGTAACACTGCAGCTTTAAGAAAGCAGAGTTGGTCTTCGACGCTGCTGTGGTCTCTGCCCAAAGCTTCCTTCTCACTGTGATAAAACTCTATGTACCCCTGGATGGGTGCCAAGCACTGCCCTGTAGTGAACCCCACGGGAGAGGCTGCAGGGCTATTTGTGGGAGAGCAGTGCACCCAATGGCTGCCGCCCAGCCCCGTGACGCTAGGACCAGCCCGGCCTGGCTGGGAGGCGCATGGGCACCACTGTCCAGGGCAAACTGCCGAGATGACCATCTGAGCTACCCCCAGCTCAAGCACCTCAGACCCTGTGCCTTCAGGCTCAATCACATGGCAGCTTTTGAGGCCATCAGAAGGCCCCACGCATGGCTAAAACCCCAATTTTAAGAGAAAAAAGAAAGCCCAGGTAATGACTGCTTTTCAGGAGGCAACTCAGGAAACAGAAAAGTTTTCTGGCTTTTTTTTCTTTTTAATAAACTACTTTCACTTGTGCCTAAACATATTAACCTACATTCCCTCCCTTCCTTCCTTCCTCCCTCCCTCTCTCTCTCTTTCTCTCTTTTCTTGGGACAGAGTCTTACTCTATTGCCCAGGACGGAATGACCACAGTCGCCATTCAGCAGCTTTGCCTACCGCGGCCAATGGTGTCCTTTCCTGTCTCGGTATTTGTTCCTTCTAGAAACTCTGGCTTAAAGGCCCCTCCTCCGTCTCCTCCCTCATCCCACCCCTGCACTCTCCTCGTCCAATCCAGTCCCTTGGCAGGACAACAGGCATTTCCTAGTTACAGCCTCAGGGTCGGAATTTCAATAGCCAAGCCTCTATATCAGGAGACGGGGCGGCGGGTCCAGACGTGGGAGTAGGGACTGGCGGGGGTGGGTGCAAGACCGAGGCAGAGACAAGACGGGCAGCTCCCGCAGCTTCTCTCTGCCTGCCTCGGCCGCCAGCAGTCTCCCCCTCGCCCCAACCCACCCCAATTTTAAGAGGCAAAAAGAAAACCCAGGTGGTGTGTGCTTTTCAGGAGGCAATTCAGGAAACAAAAGTTTTCTGGCTTTTTTTTCTTCTTTGTAATAAACTACTTTCATTTGTGCATAAACGTATTAACATACATACTTTTTTTTTTTTTTTTTGAGTCTTGCTCTATTGCCCAGGCTGGAGTGTACTGGCGTGATCTCAGCCCACTGCAACCTCTGCCTCCTGGGTTCACGCGATTCTCCTGCCTTAACCTCCCAAGTAGCTGGAACTACAGGCATGCACCACAGAGACCAGATAATTTTTGTATTTTTTTTTAGTAGAGACAAGGTTTCACCATGTTGACCAGGCTGGTCTTGAGCTCCTGGCCTCAAGTGAGCCACCTACCTCAGCCTCTCAAAGTGTTGCGATTATAGGTGAGCCATCACACCCAGCCTAAATATTATTTCTCTTCAAAGCTTTCTCTTTTGTTTTTGCAAAAATTCTAGAAGCCACCTTATTAATACACCCACAACCTCTTTGAGCAAATCTTGTTGAATAATATATTTTAAACGAATTTTCCACCATGAAATACAACATGCATTTAAAATAGCATTATAATCTGAAGAAAGGTTATAAGTTAAAAATCCAGGGGAATATAACTAATAAATAGAATATTACTAGTACCTTAGAAGGTTATGTTGCTTCCTCCTCCCTCCCCCCGCCTTTAAAGGTCACTGGCACTATCAGAAGATCACTATTCTAAATTTTACATAGAATTCATTTCTAATCTTTTACCATAGAATTTTAGCTTGTTTTTTGAATAGTCCAGAAAAGTAGACAAATATGTGTATAGCTGCCCCTAAAAAATTTAATGGGTATTCTGTTTTTGCTTAGAAATTGCTAGGTTTTTTTGAATCTGTGGATTATTATCTTTCATTTCTGGAAATTTTCCAGCCATTGTCTTTTCAAATATTAATTCTGCCCCCATTCCCTCCTTCTTCTCCTTCTACACTTTTTAGGTGGGAGTTAAATCTCCTTTCCCTCAATGTCACTTAAACCTTTTTCTATATATCGCATTTTTGTCTTCCTGTGCTGCATTCTGGATAATTTTTTCTAATTCACTAATTCTCTCTCAGCTATGTCTAATCTGCTGATAAACTCAGTTGTTGAGTGTTTTATTTCATTTATCTTAGTTTTGATTTTTAAAAGTTTGGGCCAGATGCAGTGTCTCACGCCTGTAATCCCAACACTTTTGGAGGCCGAGGCACGCAGATCACCTGAGGTCAGGAGTTTGAGATCAGCCTGACCAACACGTTGAAACCCCAGCTCTACTGAAAAATACAAAAATTAGCCTGGCTTGGTGGTAGGCACCTGTAATCCCAGCTACTTGGGAGGGTGAGGCAGGAGAATGGCTTGAACCTGGGAGGTGGAGGTTGCAGTGAGCCGAGATAACGCCATTGCACTCCAGCCTGGGCGACGAGAGCGAAACTCCATCTCAAAAAAACAAAAAGAGATTATTATTTAAATCAGTATACTTTCAGTAAGTAGATGATCCTCCACGATGTGGGTGGGCCTTATTCAATCAGTTGAAGGTTTTAAGGAAAACAGACTGAGGTCCTGCAAGGAAGAGGGAATTCTGCTTCCAGACTGTCTTCAGACTCAAGCTGCAACATTAGGCCTTCTCTGGGTCTCCAACTTTCCTGCCTGCCCTGTGGATTTAGAACTTGCCAGTCTTTGTAATTGCATGAGCTAAGTCCTTAAATAAGTCAATCTCTCGCTCTCTGTATATACAGTCTACAGACAAAGATACACACACACAAGCGCGCATGCACACACACACACACACACACACACACACACACACACACACATATACACATATCCTATTGTTTCTGTTTCTCTGGAGAACCTCACAAATGCACTCAGCTTCTCTCTTCCATGATGCATCAGTCAACCAAACCTGAAGCTCAAGTTTACTGGGCTCGACAAATGCTTTCAATGCCAAAGTTGGTTTTACTGCCTGCTTACAGTTGCATATTTCTACTTTCATTAGCTTTCTGGCTTGTGTATATCTTGTTTTCATGTCAGACCAACAATACATTTAGGAATATTTTTAATACTTTATCCAAAATATTTAATTGTTTCCAATGGGTAGGTTGGTCAGAGTGGCTCATTCTGCCACATGAGTACCGATGAAGTCAGTAAACAAGCTGGTTTATTGTGCTTTTCCTTAACTTACCTTGCACACTATTTAATCATGAAATGTGGCTCATCCCTTGGTGACCCCTATCATCTGGATATTTCTGAGCCATCTCCTTTTTGCAATATTCAAATTACTGCACCAAATAAATAATAGTAATGATTGTAACCATATAAATCTAATTCAAAACACCAAGAAGCAAGGTAAATTCTTCCTTGCTAAAGTCCTCTGATGGCTATGGAGTGTGGGGTTACATCACGTCACATTACGAACATCTTTTAACATTTCACTTTCTCTCCCATTCTCCCTGGATGGAGAACTGTTTGCTCCCCAACACCTGCCATATCTCCTTCCTCTCATATATCACCCCGCTTTCTGTCATCTCTTGGAGAGAGGAGTCGGGATGGAGAGGAAGAAGTAGATAATACTCAGAGATCACTGGAAGGTGTTACACCATAGGCCAGCATAATGTAGGTTAGAATATCTGGGAAGAGGTGCTGGGACAAGATGAGCTTGATTTTAGACATACTGGTCTCTAAAGACAGAGGCAAAGAGAAAAGACCACCCAACAACTGAAAAAAGGGACCAAGAGCTTGAAAAGGACGTTTGTTTATTTCTGTAACTTTTTCTTCAGACTATGTTTTGAGGCACATGGAAATCATGCATGAAATGGCCTCTGTTGCTGTCTGCTCTGATGGGCAGCAAAAGAATGAAGGCAAGGAAAGAAGAAAACCATATAGTTAAGCTGAGATAATAAATACTTGTGCCTGGTTTCTGGAAGCCACATAGAGATCCTTTTTACATGTTGTCCTTCTCAAAATTTATCTACTTAAGAACCTTAGGGGCCGGATGCGGTGGCTCACGCCTGTAATCCCAGCACTTTGGGAGGCCAAGGCGGGTGGATCACTAGGTCAAGAGATCGAGACCATCCTGGTCAACATGGTGAAACCCCATCTCTACTAAAAATACAAAAATTAGCTGGGCATGGTGGTGCGTGCCTGTAATCCCAGCTACTCAGGAGGCTGAGGCAGGAGAATTGCCTGAACCCAGGAGGCGGAGGTTGCGGTGAGCCGAGATCGTGCCATTGCACTCCAGCCTGGGTAACAAGAGTGAAACTCCGTCTCAAAAAAAAAAAAAAAAGAACCTTACTTTGTAAAGATTGTCAGCCATATCAATCTGAAGCTCAAAGCAATACCACATAGGAAGACAAAGAGAATCCAACTGTTTAACAGTCAGAACGAAGAGCCCCAATCATGATATTTCCAGCCATGACAATGGTCAGATTCATCAATTGCCAAACTTGAAAAGGCCAAAGTTCATTGCAAGGGTTTTAAAATGTTTTTGACAAGTATTTATGGAATAAGGGAAATTTCACTTGTTTAAAATATATATGTGGGAGCAAAAAATAGGAAAGAAATATTTCATTATATAAATAATTGTTATCTCTAAGTGATATGGTCTGGCTGTGTCCCCATCCAAATCTCATCTTGAATTCTAGTTCCCATAATCCTCACTTTCATGGGAGGGACCTGGTGGGAGGTAATTGAATCATGGGGTGGTTACCCTCATGCTGTTCACATGATAGTGAGTGAATTCTCACAATATCTGATGGTTTTGTAAGGGGCTTTTTCTCCACTTTGCTCTGCACTTCTCCTTGATGTCACCATGTGAAGAAGGAAGTGTTTGCTTCCCCTTACACCACTATTGTAATTTTCCTGAGGCCTCCCCAGCCATTCTGAACTGTGAGACAATTAAACCTCTTTCCTTTATAAATTACCCAGTCTCTGGTATGTCTTTATTAGCCGTGTGAGAACAGACTAATACACTATGTGTTATTACAAGTGATTTAAATTGTCATCTTTTGATATTTCTAACTATGGTGTTAGATTGTAGTGCAATGAACAGAATTAGGGCATTGGAGCCTGCCAGACATGGGCATTCATTACCACTACGCCCAATGGGTAAGAAATTTAACCCCTGAGTCTGAGCTTCTCACATGAAAAACAAAAATAATAATGACAGGATTGATACTGGACTCCATGATAGGAAATGCTTGCTATAGAGAGTAAACAGGAATTATTATATGAATGTGCATTGCACTTAGGTGCTCACTCTCTTTCGTTTTCTATTTTAATTATTAGTTTTAACACTGCTTCTTCACTATTTCCTTATAAGCTCAATTTCCTTTTTACAAAAGTGGTATATCTTTCAGTAGTTTTCTTCAGCAGTGTTCATTGTAAACTCTTTCAGTCTATTAGAAGTTCCTTTAAACTTACATTCACTCTTGAAAAACAGTTTTGAAGAATATGAAATGCTAGACTGACTTTTTAAAAATCAGCACTTTGAAGACATTACTTCCTTTTGGCTTCTATTATAATCTTTGAGAACACTACTGTGAGTCAATTTTGTTCTGCAGGTAACTCATTTGTTCTCTCTGTTGTCTTTAAGATGATCAGTTTTGCAGATTTTTTTAGACCTGTGTGCATGTGCATACACTTGCATGATGTGAAATATATACACAGAATTGCATAAAATCTATATGGGCAGTTTAACCACCATCCAAGTCAAGAAAACAGAATATCGGCACCATGGGAGGCCCCTGTGCCTCCTTCTACCTGAGAAGTAACCACTATCTTTACTAAATGATTTGGTCATGTCCCCTGGTTTTTGAAACTTTCAAATTTATATCCAACTA